CTCATGTCTGTATTTCTCTCTCTTACACGTATGAGTGACTGCGTCAGTTTGGTTTGATGCTGCTTCGGACAGAATTTCAGTTCTATCACGGCGTGTCACCTTGACGTATGAGGAGGGTTCGAAGTAACCCGTTGCACAAAGCGATTGAAGCGCGAGGACAGTCTAAGTCTGTGTTGCAGAATTGGAGTTACGACCACCGTATATATGAGACTGACAAACCTTAAAACAGTCAGAGTGGACCGGGATTCGACGCACGATTATAGGATTCTGGCATGCCTGAGGAACGAAGCTCTGCATAGCGAATTGCGACACCTTCGATGACTGTGACACCTGTGCCCCCTGTTTCACAGTTACTAGCGGAGAAAACTCACATCCATACATTTGTTTTTCAAAAGCACACTATTTCTTGTCTCGAATGTTTAAGCTGGACTTTTTAGTTGGGCTGAAGATGAGTGAGTGAGTGAGTGAGTGAGTTGGGTTTAACGGCGCTTTTAACATTATTCCAAGCATTTCGCGGCGTGTCAGCTTAATGTGTGAGGAAAGTGATGCAGGTTTCAGACGTTTACCACTTCGGTGAAACCCACGAGCACGGGTATGGTGCTGACAGACCTAGATACCAAATTGAGGCGAACCGGGATTCGAACCCACAATCATAGGTTTCTGGCGTGCCCAAGGGACGCAACTCTGCACAGCGAATCGCGGCGCCTTAGACGACTGGGCCACCCGTGCCCCCGGGCTGAAGATGAGCTTAATTATGTATTTTATATATTTTCTCGCTTTAAAAACATAAAACAATACACTTTTATTCTTTCAAATTACCACGGAGCCTAGCAGTTTTGATATTCCGTACACACGCATCGGAGAAATGGTTATCTCACTTCCACTTAGCGATGCGTACAGGGATGAAGACATTTTAGGCGTGACTTCCACTTTTTCACCTATACTCATACAACAACTTGACAAGTGGCGTGTTGCGTAAGCAGGTAGGAGATTGGCCAATCTTTTCAGCACGTATTATCTAAATGATTAGTGATTGTCCGATATTAAGTCCATTTAATTCCCTCTTTCGCTAGAAAACAACAGCAGCCACGCCATCTGCGTCATGCGATGCTGAATATCTCTATCGTGTTAGGACCATGTATGTACCTGTTTTACTGGTTTTAGTCGATAGGTGGTGGAACAGGTCTATAAATGACAATACCCTTAAAAGAGCAAGTCTCTTGGCAGATTTGATAAGAGTCACGGCCCCAGGTGGTTCAGGACAAAGCCCCCAATAGATATAAATTGCGATATTAATATGTGTTTGTATTTCTAACGAAGGTTTTTCCCTAAGGAGATAATGTCACAAATAAACCAACTTCATCTGCCTCTCATACAACCCTAACAAAATGTCCTTGCTTGGAGCAAAAGATGACGATTTTGTGATTTCGACGAACATATAATCAAATTTGTTATGGCGTTATACCACTATTTTTAAAATACGCGGAATTACGCAGAAAACGTTACTCCGATAAATCATTGATGTCCATAAATAAGACAATTAGAAGTAGCAGGAAGGAAATCATTGTAATGAGTTTTCATTGCTCTGACAAACCCGTGGCCAATTTCATGGACAGGTTAACATCAATGAACGCCATCTGAGAGAGCGTCTGTATTTCTATGGTTAATTACGTGCTGAGCTATTGTTGTGAACGAACCCAGAAACAGTTATCAAATGTAATGAGACAGTTGTGTGCAATTGTTCAGTGACCTACTTACATCCAGGGGACCGTGTATTGGGATGGACTCCGGTGTGCCATGAAAGTACTGCAACGACAAGGCGCCCAGATGGCCTCGTCAAGATGCTCGCAGGGGATGTTTGGAGATAGGGGAAGGCCACAAAAGATTTATTATTTGTTTGTCAGATGCTTTGGTTAGGAGTGTTGAGTAGGTGGGCGATGTTTTTCTTAAATAGGAACAGATAAATTTCTCCTGGTACTTTGAGCGAAAAAAAAGCATCGTTAAATTGTTCCAGGTATTAATAAGCCTTTAGCCCTGATAGGGTTAAGTTTCTTCCATTTAGAAACAGTTGAACCAGCAGATGGGGGATCTAACAACCCAACAGAACCACGCCCTCACATCCACCCCTACCCCAACACACGTTCACACAAGTTACAACGAATAAGAGCAAAGAACCACACTCTTGCCCAAGGCTATTGGTATTTGTTTTGTTTGTTTGTTGTTTAACGCCGCACTCAGCAATATTCCAGCTATATGACGGCGGTCTGTAAATAATCGAGTCTGGGCCAGACAATCCAGTGATTAATATCATGTGCATCGATCCGCGCAATTGGGATCGATGACATGCATCAAATCAAGTCAGCGAGCCTGACCACCCGATCCCGTTAGACGCAGAGTCACCTTTTACGGCAAGCATGGGTTGCTGAAGACCTATCTACCCCGGACTCTTCACGGGTCCAAGGCTATTGGTGGAGCAGAGGTGTATGTACCAAACAACCTATTACTCACAGAACTAAGTGAACCATGAATTTTCTACCATTTGGCTTAGGTCCTGCCTGTTCTTCAATAAAACTACATTTGGAATATTTCTACACTGCAAACACGAAAGCGTCGTTATTTTCGCCTAAGGTCATTAAATAAATGACGGAAAATTCTTTCAAATTGATTAATTTGAGCGTCTAGAAAGCGTAGAAAATTCGTCGTCAATTTCAAGCTTATAATCGGCGCTTTGTGTACGCAAGTTGCTGAATACACCTACCATAAAATAAAGACTGTTTGAAGATATACATTTCTAAATATAGTCTGGTTACTGTTGTGCGCTTTATGTGATCTAAATCTGTATGTTAGTAGAGTTTAATATCGTATTGTATCTTTCGGCGCCAATAGTCTCACAGTTTATGCAAAAACCTGATTATAAAATCATTTTTTGAAACCATCATTACTTGATCGATAACAATTGGAAGTGTATTGAAAACATTAATCATTCAGAATGTCATGATCATTATGACAGAAAGTTACATAGCAACGTTAATCTCCACCCCGTTTGATAATTACATAGTATATGACAGTGCTCCAATTCACTTGCTTATTCTCTGTAGTTGACTTTTTGAACTGATATTATTAAAATTGTACATTTCATATCAACATGAGTGTTGAATGTTGGACGAAAACCTCTCCTGCTCAGAGATATCATTTTACAAATTCTTGATGGAAATTTATACAATAAATATGTGCTTCTCAAAACAAAATTACGGTTGCTTTTAAAGAATCTTCAAGGTTCTTTATCAAAGTTGGTTACATTTCCTTAATTTACCCTTTGCTAGCAAAGTTTCCAATTTCGTCTTAAAAACCCGTCGCAACAAGATGTGCAGAGCAAATCAAAGAAACCCATCGGCTTTGAACTAGATTGCAACCCCAATAACTCACACCATCATTTAACATGTACATAAAACGCCAGGACAGAACTAAAGGTATTTATCTGAGGCTCTTAGTGTCAGATAGGTGGCACAAAGTGTTGGCCTTGAGCGTCTGTTGCAAGTGTTTTTGACTGTGAATCAAAGAAAGGACTTCATGATTGATAGCCCTACCACCTCAAGTCTTGGCGAATCTATTCACGACTCATCTTCACAAACAAATCCAATAAAGGAAAATACGGCAAGTTTATAAGATTACCCCCAAGTATTGCGTGGGGTGAAGGAATCAATGCATGACACGGGTGTAAAGTGATTACCAATATTGTACAAATAACGAATGTTTAAGGAAGAAGCCGGTGTATGCTTTCAAGCACTTCTGTCTTTAAGACTAATAATGGACTCCTTTTTAAGCTTTATGACAGCATTACAAGACAAGCGATAAGAGCATTGAAAGAACTCCTTATCATTTGCCGAACTGTAAGTAGCGGTTGTGGCGGAATTAAGTCAAATATTTGATTACCTAACATTTGTACTCCAAACTATCAAACCTTTGATTATGCTCTAACATGCTTATATCTGGGCTTGCTTGTTTGGAGCTTTTTGTAAATTCAGACAGTTCTCTTTCGTATCGATGTCATCGGGTACAGTAGGTGATATATCGATTCATCATTTAATTGGACGATTTCCCTCTGCGACAATAAAGCTTCTATTAGTCCAATACATTTGTCACAGGGAGTTGATACAATCAGGACATACATAGCTTTGTCGTACGGTCTAAGCCCCTTCCTTAACATGTAACTACTATATTGCTGTGTGAGGGTATTCAGCAACGTCCTGAATGGATACTATGTCTAGACGCAGAATGAAATATCCTTGATATAAATATACCTAAGCATTACCGAAGGATATTTGTATTATGCCATGAAAAATTGGATGCATCTATCAGCCATGTTCTCTGTATATTCCCGCGTCTGATATATTAGTAATTCTATCAGTCATCGTTTGCAGTTTGCGTCGGAGCTATTGTTCCATCATTGTGTTCACGATTACACGAACATTGAACACATTTGTACACATTTGGAATGTTCAGATTACACAAATAGTACAAAGATTGACCTGAAATGTAAAATCATGGATGTTGAATTCAAGATAACAAGTTATATTATGTGTACATTTAGAAAGGAAGTGATCATGAAAGCTAGATTATTTCATTCTGGCATGATAGAGGGACACCCCTCTGCACAGTGAATTGCGGTGCCTAAGGCAACTTGGGTACCAATACTTGCGAAGTGTCACTGCAGAGTCCTCACTGGCTTTGGTGAAAGTTCGAAGTGATGCAGGTCTTCGACGTTTACCAGTTTGGTGAAACCAGGTACCACGGGTATGGTGCTGACAAACCTAGAAACGTACTCAAGTCGGACTGGGATTCGAACTCACGATCACAGTTGCACGCAGCTTAAGGACGCATTTCAGCATAGCGAATTGCGGAGACTCAGACAGCTGGGCAACCCGTGCCCCCACTCACAATCTGAAACTGTGAGTGTCGAATATACACGTGTAGTAATATAGCTGTTGTGTGTGTTTCAGTGCCTTGCCTTTGAGTATGTCCCTGGCAGAGGTCAAGATGTACAATGCGTCGCAGCTGCTGGAGAACATGCTGGTGGGTTATGACAAGCGGCTGAGGCCTGGATTCGGTGGTACGTCTCTGCTTATCATGTTGTTTGGGATTGATATTGGACCTTCCCGGTACATATAGACATAGACATAGGCATAGACATAGACATAGTCGGTACATATAGACAAAGGCATAGACATAGACATGGAAATAATAATAATAATAATAATAATAATAATAATAATAATAATAATAACAACAACAACCACAACATTTTCTCCTCGTCGAGTCCTTTTCTAATTTCATCGGCATATTTTTACGACAAATGCAACATTCTTCATCTGAAACGTGGCAAGGTAGAAGAGGGAGCATCAGTCATTTTACTTGGGGGAGGAGTTATTGACCATCTCGTGGAAGGTCAGGCCTAACCGTACTTGGGCAGCAGGTTAGGGACAAACTCCAGAATGCCCATATAAAAAAAAAAGAATACAAATGCCGACTTAAGAAAATCTGGGTTTCAGTGCTGAACGCTCACAATAAAGTCAAAGCCACAAATACTTAATATGCTGTACCCGTTCTTTCGTATTCTTTTGGTGTTGTTGTTTGGACGAAACAAGAAATTCAGGCCAACTTCTAAGTAATGCCTATCAAACAAATTAAAGAAATTCAGGGTATTGAAACCCTCACACGGAAATTCATGTCAGGCAATAGATCCCACCATCCTCGTTCTTCCTCAAAACGCGTATATTTACCAATCATAATGGGAGGGCGTGGTTTGATTAACGTGGTGTCTCTTTGTGATAGAATTGTATTGTGCACTTTTGCACACATTTATTTGTCTATTGATCCTCTTGTGAAGCATGTCAAGACTCATGATGAAAATAAGGCATTCCACAGTTTTCTTTAACGAGCCAAGGATATGGGACATAATCTCAATGTCAGTGTTGATTTTGTTCTGTGTTAACCAAGCGGAGTGCCATCTCAAATCGGCCCTGCAACCCTGCAGAGTTCTTCGATTGGATGAAGTCGGCTGGCCTGAAAAGTGACTCAGAAGGCTTTCTGTTTGCTGCTCAGGACCACTCACTTCCTACTGGAAACCGTCAATGTGTGATTTTACATCAAAATGTTAATATGAAATGTAGATTATGCAATAAATTTAATGAGACTGTCCAACACATTGTCAGTGGATGCCCAGCTTTGGCACAAACTCAGTATCTTAAGCGACATGATGGTGTAGCGCCGTGCTTGTGGTTTTGACACAGAGGTCCATCCATGGTACGACCCGGAATATGTAGAGGGCGTCATGGAAAATGATAAATACAAAATTCTTTGGAATAGGCCCGTTTACAGCCTCAGACGTATCCAGGCCAACAAACCTGATCTTGTCCTTTTTGATAAATCCAATGAAATCATTTATATCATTGAATTTTCTGTCCCTTTTGACACTAATGTGATTGACAAGATTCGGGAAAAACATGGCAAATATGCGGACCTCGCTTTCGAAATGTCACGCTTGCATCCCAAGAACCAAGTTGTCCGACTCCCCATTGTTCTCGGTGCCTTAGGTTTGGAACCTCCCAATCTGTTGACTGACATTGGGAGAGTACCCGGGTTTGCTACCAGGAATACACCATCTGACAATCTGGGTAATGCAGAAGGCTGCAGCGTTGCCGGGGAGTCTTCACGTTCTCCGAAAAGTTCTGGGTGGGTTCGACTTTGCAGCGCTTCCTGGGACATTTCCCATTCGCTGTCAGGGCTGCGTGTAAAGGGAGCAGGGGCCCTGAGCTGATGATGAACCTAACCAGCCTGACTGTGCCTCGATCATCCAAACCCTCTTTGCTTCATATTTTATTTTAATCTGTTCATAATAATAATCATAAATGTACCGGGAGCTGACCTGGTGGTGTGGGTTAGCCCAGTGGTTAAATCGTTCGCTCGTCACTCCGAAGATTCGGGTTCAATTCCCCACATGACCCGGGTACAATTCGTGAAGCCCACTTCTGGTATCCCTCGCAGTGATATTGCTGGACTATTGCTAAAAGCGGCGTAAAACCATACTCACTCACTCGAGCTGACCTTTGGCGACCTGGTTTCGAATTTCAGTGGAATTTGTTAATTTTCTTGGGACAAATAAACGAATATGAATATCCCATAAGAATATGACTTTTACGATCTTAAAGGGATATGATTGTGAATAACTCTACCGAATCTTATTGCATGACGTTTGCTGAACTCTTAAATGTCTTCATTCCGTAGTGTGGTGTATCTTCAAATCTCTCTGCTCACTAAATATTGATAAAAGCGGGAATGTGTTGACGAGGCCGTGTATGCTGTAATTAAATTAATGTCAATAAAAAGGACAAATATTTATGCAAGGAAATAATTTTCCTTGACAGAACACGATTGCCACATTACTGAGGCTGTCTCTATCTACACACAAGCAATATGAAACCACATCAATCAGTATAATGAAACAATAAACGAAGTAAATTATTATTGATAACACTTTATATAACCATACCTTACGATTGTAGAAGATGGAACATTTATTAATATTATCACAATTTACTAAGTATCCTCAGAGCAGAGGTCAAACTGACGGTTTGACTTGTTGTCCAAATGAGAATAAGATGATGGAACAACTTTGAAGTTCTACTTTCAATTTGACAAAGATATCGATCCAAAACTTGTTTTCTAAAAACGTGAATCGAACACAACTTTGAAGCGAAGAGGATAAATACCAAAAAAACTATTTTAGATCCCCAGTTCTCTGAAATAACCTTTCCTGTATTGTCCAAAAACTTTTCCATTAACCAATCTGCTAGCTGACGATCCCACCGTCAATGTTTTCCCCAGTTGAAAGGAAAATATTATTGTCCGGAATTCAAAATATTTCGACTCGACAGACTTTTGTTCCCGCGAATCCACTTAAAAGCACAGACTTCATTCGCTGGAAAATCAAACACATTGACTGTCTTAAGATACTCGGTTGGGATACTGTAGAATCAATATGGCTTTGGAGAAACTATCTGGGTTCGTTTCCAGTCTGACAGATTTCTGAACACTGAGCGTAGTCGTGCTTCTCTCAAAGAAATTGTTACATGATCGCAATGAATATTGAAAATAAAGCCAGGATCTGTGACTGTGTATTCCAGCTTTGTAGTCTGCTCCAGGGGACTTTATTATACGCGACTATCAACGTTTAACTCAATAATGAATTTAATGATGGAGAAACCGAAGGTCATACCACTAACTCGTACATCATGAATAACATCAATATTAGTTATATCACGATGTCCATCGAAGCGGCAACAGATTTCACAGACGGTATGTAGGCATAATAAACATAGCACTGGATAAACTCAACTGAACGACAATGACATTTTCTCAAAGACGTGTGTGAGTGAGTATTGTTTTGCGGCGATTTTTGCAATATTCATGGAATATCACGTCGGGGAACACTAATATTAGTCTCCACACATAATAATTGTACCATGTTCCTCAGTCTTTGGACGAGCGAACGTTTTAACCACTAGTTCTCCCTAGATCAACCTATGGAGTGAATTTGAAGAACGTAAATAATTATGAAGAATTATATGAGACTTTCATCATAGATTTCTGACTTACATATGTTTAGCTCATAAACATGTCTGCCTGCATTAGTAATAGTAGATAGTGATAGTGAATGTTATAGACGTCTAATAAATGTTAAGTGTAATTAATTGAATTGTATTTAGCAATAAATAACATGTGACCTAAATAAAAAAATTCTTTAAAGGTTTTAGATTGGTTTCTTGTTTCACGGTGACCTAAAGCAATGGTCATTTAACTTACAAAGGTGTACTTTATGCCTATTTCAAATTATAAAGAAAACCGAATCTTCAAGACTTTGATGGGGGAGAAATATGACTATTTGGTCAGAGATATGACAGAGATTTAAATAATAACATACCAAAGGGCATTGACCTCCTTCGTTATATGAATCTGGAGCTATGGTTTTACCCGTAAGGATATACATGTACGTAATTATAACAAACACGGAAAGACAAAAAATGGAAAGCAGTTAGTTTATTGGCAATTCAGATAATATGTAATGTGTCCCTATTCAAGCATTCGAGACAAGAATTACGCAATTAGCGTCCATAAAGAAACGAGGAAATGAGATTTTCGTGGAAACACGTTTTATGTGTTATCCAGCTGATTGGTCAGTTGAGATGGCCATTTTATGTGTTGACCATTGCCAGTGGGTGCTCTTCAAGGACAATTGAACCGTATATGACCGCTGTACCAAAGCCTTGAAAGGAGCGTTTGATGACCAGCATCTAATCTCATCAGTTCTAAGAGCCATGTTTGACGATGAAGATGCCACATTGCTCGTCGTATAGCTATTTAGACGGGGCCACAGAATCAACATGGTCGCTATTGTGTTTACATAACATGACCCCTGACCTCAATCAATAGCCAATCGCTGGACACAGTTATAAATAAACCGGCTAGACATCCGCGAAATCCCATATGATTCACCAACTGTGACTTGTAATTAGACTTGCAAATTACATTTACATGTACATTATATACAATAAATGGGTTTTAATTCTTGGTTCAAAGTATGTATTTTTTTGTCTTTGTTCATATTATACACATGTAAAATGTAAACAATATGGCTATTTGTTATTTATACATGTATGTGTTGGGTAAATGCGTTCCGAACACTACAGTACTTCTGTATGTAACATACAAAAAATATACTGATGATACGCGATCGAGGTTGATTTGGGATGGTATTAAAAGTGAACTGGACGACAGTCCAAAGGTCTCAACTGGTTTTCCTTTTGGCCTATTTATGCACATATCGCAAGACGGACAGAATCAAGTTTAAGCGAGCAGGAAAAACTCGTCCTTCTTGCACTGCTGTGATACAAAGTTTTACCCAAATGCATAGACATTGGTTTACCCAAATGTCCGCCTCGAATTGATTAAGTAAAAATGGGGAATTACGTCGGACATCATAAGGTCAATGATGCGTCAATTTTGGAAATCATACGCGACTATCAAGTTGACGTTTAACTCAATAATGAATTTAATGATGGAGAAATCAATGATGCGTCAATTCTTTTTGGAAATGTCCTCCACATGTCTACCACAATGTTTTTGAAAGCTTTACTTACCCTGATCAAACATCTTTTGAACAAGAGTCGTTCAACGCTCTTTGAAATTTTCGTAGAAAGGGCATGCTCGATTGTAGGAAGTTCAAAGTATAAATGTGTTCACACACATGTGTCACTAGCATTGCGGTGAGTATACGAAGCGGCACTCCTGACCTTAACGCGGAAAGACACAGGAGTAAGAAAAGCGTGACATAGATCACAAGGTGTTACTGAAACTGATACAGCAGATCATCTCGTCACAATAATGTGTAAGAATACACACTGACATGACCCCGGGGTCAGGTCGCTGCAGCGGAAGATGCCTTTGGGAAGATGCAGGAAAGATTATAAGATTCCGCTAACCACTTTGTCCAATTAGTTGCAAATATCAAGAATAACATCTCAACAATAGCTTCATCTGCTTGCTATATGATCTAATCCAGTTTGTCTTTTATTGCAGGGAAGCCGTTAGCAGTGATGATCTATATCAATCTACGATCCATGGGCCCTATATCGGAATTAGACATGGTAAATGATACTGGCTTTACTCTATCTGAGATCAATACTGTAATGACAGACCATCACGGGGGATGCTGTTCCCTGTCATCGGGAAGCGGGCGAGTATGACGCTGACACATCTCTTGTGCTAATACGATGGAGACGGCTATGAAAATGCACGAATGCAAAGAAAATTGCAAAGGAAAACTGTTGGTTTTTCATTTACAAATACGAAACTATTATTAAAAGGGTATTATGGCTGCTTAACCGTGGCGCTTTAAGCCGTATTGCCAATGACGTCGTTCATTGGTGAAGATATCCTTTTGAAATCGTCAAGACAAATGATGGTTTAATTTTGTTGTCATTTTCAAATGGTCATGTTTCCGATAACCGGCACGTTTCACATACAGATCAATGGAGATAAAGGCTTTATTGGTGATGATCCGACATATCTCTGTATCTTTTTACTACAAAGTTTTGAAAAATATATTTGTGGTAAAGGATTAACGTTCTGGTCGGATGTTTTACTTCAATGAAGCTGTTTCAAACTTGAAAGAGAGAGGAAGCTGCAGCAATAGGGATTTAAGCTCTTATGCAGTTGATGTCCGTTTGAATAGCAAGAAAAAAATGTTATCATCGATTGCCAACATAATTTCTTTTGAATGGCAAAACACAATGTATGCCTAATATGAGAATATTGGAAAAGAAAATAGGATTTTGTCTTTAAGATCCTTAAGACCAGGGAGATTATGGAAAAATAATACACTTTTCCAAACTTTGAAGGTATTTTTGGTTTTGAATTAAATTGAGAAAATGGGAAAATGGAATTTTCAGAAATACCTGCAATTGCCATCATGCCAATGGCTTTATATTGGTGTTCTATGTGCAGCATGTGATTTATTTATGTTTTGTTTGTAGGTGTTCGTATGACCTTTTAATGTATATATTCTATAGGTGGCATATGGAGTCTACATTCTCACATAGAATGACACACATGTTACACCAGGAATATGATAGTTACACTGGTACATAATCGTTACACCGGATATATAATCGTGACCCTGGTATGTCATCGTTAATCGTTTCGCTGGGCAATCATTATGCTGGATATATAATGGTGACATTGGGTTTACGCTTGGATTATATATAGTATAAATAATCCTTACATCGGGTATAAATCGTTTTGATGCATCGGGTATAAATCGTTTTGATGGATATTTATATATTTGGATATATCATCATGGCGTTTGGTATATAACCACTACGTTGGGTATATATACCCGTTAAACTTATATACCATTGTTACACCGGGTATACACTCGTTAATGTGAGTAAGTAATCGTAAAAAGTTATACTTCCGATCTGTCTAATCATAACACGTTGACGTTTCCTTTGACGTGACTAACATGAATACCATAAATACCGTGAATACCATAAATACCGTGAATACAATTAATACCATGGTTACCAGGAATACCATAAATACCATGATTACAGTTAATACCATAAATACCGTTAATACCATGAATACCATGAATACCATAAATACCGTGAATACAGTTAGTCCCATGATTACTGTGAATACCATAAATACCGTGAATACTGTTAACACCATGAATACTGTGATACCATTAATACCGTGAATACAGTTAGTACCATGATTACTGTGAATACCAAAAATACTGTGAATGCATTGACAGGGTAATTACTAGACATTTAGCATTTCAAACGCCACGTTGGTTTGTGGATACATTTTAACTTGAATTACAATACTCGCCGAACGGAATATATGGAATTCCTTTCTCCCTGGCATTTAACTTTCACTAGCTTCATCAGTTTAAAACATTTACATCCCCTCACCCAAGGGTCTTTCCTTATGAATGCTTCAATAAGAAGCAGAAGATGTAATAAACTCCAAGTTAGGGGGAGGGGGGTGCTCTGATACTGATGAGTGATGAGCGGTGGGATAAACAGGGCCCTTGGGATGCTACAATGTATTATCAACAAACGGTCATTATAGGCAAGGCTGATGACACATGTGAACTATCGGTCTTAGATACTTACACAAATTGCATTCTGTCATTTCACTATACTTACCCAAGTTAGGATACAGCTGAGTGATGCCCCCATCCTTTAACTCTCCGTAGCCCCTCCCCAACAGGCGGACCATCTTGTAGTGATGTACTCAGCCATTGATTATCCAGCCTATTGTGATGAATGGACCGCTTCCGTGGTCAAGTGGTAGAGCGTCAGTCCGGAGAGAGAAGGTCCGGGGTTCGATCCCCGGCCGCGTCATACCAAAAGACGTTAAAAGGTGGTACTTGTTGTTAGCGCTCGGAATTAAGGGGCTAAAACAAGGACTGGTCGGCTCGGAGTCCGTATACTGTGTCTGAGTGAGGTATTCATGTTAAACTGCGGCATGGTATCTGACTGGGTTAGCACTATAAAATCGGCATTAGTCAGAACTAGTACAAGCAGCCACACACTCACACGTGCGTGCACGTCGCCGTATAAGTACACTAATCTTGAACGCGATGTTAACACCATTTCACCTCACCTTTTGTGATAAATGCCCTTGTCCTATTTGCTATTACTGTATTATCATCGTCAAATCGAAAAAAATAATTTCACTGGTGAGAGAAAGTCTGTAATTTCAAAGGAGCAAGGGAGCTGATGACGCCACATCCTAAACGAAGCTATAGCGGCGAATGGGTCCAGGGTATATATCAGAAAGGCATAGAAATATAATACCCTGGATAACCGAGGATGCATCGAGGAATCAATTCATTAGTTCTTAGGTCTGTAACACCCTTGTTTTTAACCACAGGCCATAGACTGATGGATATGTATGTACTCCGTGTCTCATTTAATAAGCGGGTGGTTGTTTGAGTTGTGTCACGTTGCATTATCACATTTTAAATTATTCGATCGATGGACCCGGTAGGAATTCACAGCAACGATGCGAGGCTTGACGAACTGTCGGTTGTACTGTCATAGTTCAATGTACCGTACATACACGCATACTCTTAACCTCCAACCACCCTTACAAACCACCCGCCCATCCTCTATACATACACGCATACCATTAACCTCCCACCACCCTTACAAACCACCTACCCTTCCTCTATACATCCACGCATACCCTTAACCTTCCAATACTCTTACAAAACCACCAGCCCATCATATATACATACACGCATACCCTTAACCTCCCACCACCATTACAAACCACCTGCCCATCCTCTATACATCCACACAAACCCTTAACCTCCCACCACCCTTACAAACCACCTGCCCATCCTCTACATCCACGCATACCCTTAACCTCCCACCACCCGTACAAACCGCCCGTCCATCCTCTATACATCCACGCATACCATTAACTCCCCAACACCCTTACAAACCGCCCGCCCATCCTCTATACATCCACGCATACCCTTAACCCCCCAACAACCTTACAAACCACCTGCCCATCCTCTGTACATCCACGCATACCATTAACCCCCCAACACCCTTATAGACCACCTGCCCATCCTCTATATACATCCACGCATACCCTCAACCTCCCAGCACCCCTACCATTAATCTACCCATCTTCCACATATCCCAGCACCCCGTCAACCACTCACCACCCTTACCAAATACCTGTCCATCCTCCATATACCCTCAACCACCCCCCACCCACCCAACCGCTCACCCGACCTTCCCACTCTTCATACATACACAGATAAATCCACCCATCCAGGCATTCATCCGCCAATCCCAATCCCAATCAGAGGATTCCTGGTTTGAGCTGTTTTTACGCTGCTTATGACAACTGGAACCTTTATCAATCTTTCTCAGAATATGTTTGCAGGAAAACGATGCCGTCAGCTGTCACCAGCTGAGGAGAGCTTAAATGTGATGTAACACGACTGGTGCTGTTCACGTGTGTGCTAAATGCAGCCTCCCTTGAAGCTATCGTTGAGATCGCTCCCCAACTGTTTCAGGTGTACACATTGGACTGCTATTTCCGCCAAACCTGGTATGATAAACGCCTGTCCATGAACATATCGCTGGAGCACCTCCCCCTGGGTATCACGATTCTAGAACGGATTTGGCATCCTGACACCGTCTTCTACAACGGCCAGAACTCCTACCTCCACACAATCACGACGCCCAACAAATTTGTCAGGATCAGTCCCAATGGAAACGTCCTCTACTCACAAAGGTAATTCTGAAGGCTAATGACAAATCTTGATCCTCACATGGTCCTGACAAGATGTATTACGCCTAAATTAAAGCTAGGGGATGAGATATGGCGAGGTTTTCCGCCTTCGAGAAGACTACATTAATATCACCAGTCACCAAAATTCAATAACTGTCCTGATGTTAAATCAAACATATTTGGGGCCCAGTCGTCTAAAACGCCGTATTTCGATGTACAGGGTTGCGTCACTTAGGACTTAGGACTTTTGACAAGAGTCCTCATACATCTAAGAAACAAAATATTAGATTAGTAAAGGATAGACGTATACTTGGAGGCGCGTCTGTTTGCCTTGATTTTAAGTCGAATATGTCTGTCTGGTTGCGACCTTCCTAATATATAATGTCTTATTATTGATTATATGTACAATTATAAGATGTATATGCCCATAAACATCCGTTGGAATCAATTACAATTAAGGCTAACCACCGAACACGTTCTTGCTTATTTCTCGCAAACCCATTTCCGAGAGTTAGAACCATTTTATGATTGGAAACCATCTGACGCTGAGAAAGTCGGTCACAGAGAGTCGTTCATATTATGCCTTCGTCATAGTCTCTGTTGACGCATGAACCTTTCTGACTGTGTGCTTCTATTTCTCAGATATTAGTTTATCCTAAGCATAGGTCAATGCCAAAAAGATAGATATATTAATACAACGGGTTGTCCGTTTCGTTTGATTCCCACTGTAAAAGCTAAGATAGTGAAAATCACATGAATGGTTCCGCAAAGACAGTGATGACACCAGGTGTTCGCGAGAAGGGTAAGCATGTACTACTCTATCGGAAGTGACTGAATTACCGGAAGTAACGAAATATTACATAGATTAGGCAATCTGACGTGTCGAATTCGAATGCGATATTCCTGTCGAAATGAGATCCCAGAGCAGGAAAAATCAGCTTTACAGACAATGAGAGATGAATGAATGAATGAATGAATGAATGAATGAATGGTAAAAATAGACGATAGATAAACTGACGTTCAAAAGAAACTTTACCAGAGTTTGAAATCACTCTTGCTCAAAAAACCCAAAACATACATGCATGAAGTAAAGTGTTTTGAAAATGACAATCATACCGCGACCGAGAATGACGTCAGAGCCCCCCAAAGTTGGGTGTGGTACAAAACTCGAGCTTTCAGAATCATGGACAATAAGCAGTGTACATAAACAATCGCTCACGTTCAATAACAAGTCATTAGTATCGTGTGTGACCACCAAATGCCTCAATACACGCAAAAACTCTTCGACGTCTGATGAGGTCACGTGGTATTTGACGCCATCTTCTCGGAGGGCCAAGATCAGTTCTTGTCGGTTGGCTTGAGAGTGTGGTCGTTGTCGAACGCGACGATCCATCAAGTCCCAGAGGTGTTCAATGGGGGACATGTCGGGTGAGCGTGCAGGCCACGGCAGGACGTTGACGTTGTTGGCTGCGAGGAAGTTAGTGACAATTCTGGCTGTATGGGCTCTAGCGTTGTCATGCTGATAAATGACACCACGTGGCTGCTGTAGGACATGGTAGGACAACTGGACGAAGAATGTTATCCATGTAACGCTGAGCTGTCAAGTTTCCGTCAACGATGACCAGCGGTGTCCTCTCCTGCCCACAGATCCCTCCCCACACCATGACACTCCCTCCACCATTTGGTAGGACCTCCTGCACGCAACATGCCGCCGTTCGTTCACCCCTTCGGCGGTAAACACGTTGTCTTCCATCAGCCCTAAACATACAGAATCGACTTTCGTCAGTGAAGACAACACTCTGCCAGTCACGTCGTTGCCTACGTCGTACAGTCCGGGCCCATCTCAATCGCAGACGACGATGTTGCTTTGTCAATAGCTGTCCTCTGTATGGTCTAAAAGCCCTGAGTCTCCTGGCCACTGTCTGTCGACTAACCCTGTGACCTAAGACATTTGTCGCCGATGACGTCACTGTCAGGAAGCGATTTCGGAGGTGCAAGGTACGCAAGTACCGGTCATCATGGGGCGTGGTCAACCTGGGTCTGCCTGTTCGTGGCCTGTCAGCGGTCCGCCCTGTCTGTCTGTAACGTTGCATCAAGTTGGTAACGGCAACACGGGAGCAACCGAAGGTTCGTGCAATATAGGCGTGGGTGGCTCCCATCTGTACCATACCCAAGTCTCGTTCACGTTGTTCGACTGTGAGTCGTGGCATTTCTTTTGTGTTTTTTTATCACTGTGGATGTCTGACTTGCCGTTGCAATCGTTTTATACCCTTACCCGCACGTGCATTTGCAGTTGTCCGCTGTGCACGTGTTTTTCACTTTTTCGCGTGTTATCTCGCAAACATGTAACAGACGATTAACATTTTCTGCATTCACTATTGTTGTATTTAGGTTATGTGTTTTAGATAGACTTCATCGAAATTTTTTTAATACTTTGTCTGATATTTATATTTTCAGTTGGTAAAGTTTCTTTTGGACGTCAGTTTATGTTTATAAATATACGAAATGACTGGTGGAATAGGTGGATTTATATACTGTGACCATTGTTTTTATTAATTGTCTGATCGATACATGGACAGGATCAACGTACAGGTACATACACAGGTAGATGCCTGTACTATGATAAAGATCAGCAGACCAGTACACGCTTCCAATTACAGCGTCGGTGCCTCATGATCACGACGTGCCATCATGTCCATCCATCATTATGGAAGGAAAGACTTGAAATTATTATACACATGATTTCTGAGTGCGTGATTCTCACATGAAACAACGTCAACTCCGTTTAAGACTTTGTGTAATGCGATTCTTAACAGCAGGATCAGTTGATTAAACAGACACGTTTGCTGTGGGATCTGGAGAAAGATGTCTTCATTTTCAATACAATTTTCAGTTGACACTAATTTTGAATGGCACTGACATGCTATCTGGCGCGTGTCACACTGGTGGCGTGAATGGACGTCTCACCTTGTGTGCAGTAGGAATCACCCAATTCCAGATATATCACAATGCATTTGCTAAGTTTGCCTTGGGAAACAATTGACGAAAATTGTGTAATTTAGAACAGAACGTTAGAAAACGACATCCGACTAATAACTGCATATCAATTACCTTCACGTCAAAAGGTCAAGATCTTGATTTACCCCTCAGCTTGTGTCTCCACAGGCGGACCTAATGTGTTTTTGTAGTTATGTTTTCCACGGGTACCTGGACCCTAGTTGGGTTGAACATAATTAAGTGTTGAATTAAACCATATTACATTTACTCGCTGTTCAGAAGGCGGTATCGTTCTTGGAATACATCCCTGTTCACTGATAGCAATATGCTACAAGAAAGGAAAATTACCACAAATATCTATTCTTATAAATACATTTTCGCAGTTGAAAATGGCTAAGTTGAACCGTATCTTAAAGTGAGTGAATGCTGTTTAACGCCGACCCTATCACAACTATATCACTGCGTCTTTTAGCTAGTCGAGTCTGGATCAGACAAACCAGTGGTTGACAGTATGAACAACCATACCACAATATGACAGGCAACCAACAAGTAGCCCAGTCAGACCATCCAATATCTTGTCCGTGCGACCTATTATAAATCGGATTGAAGAAACTTCATGGTAGAGGCAACACCAAGTGGTAATAGCTTCATTTAAAGTATTTAGTAATATACAAAACCGACTAAAAGTAACCGATGACTAAATGGTGTTAAACGTTGTCAGTGTAGATGAAACCTGAAGGGGTCTGGTTGATTGTTTCTGTACAGGCTGACGATCCGGGCAAGCTGTGTGATGGACCTGAAGACATTCCCTCTGGATATTCAGAGCTGTCCACTGTTCTTTGGTAGCTGTAAGTATATCATGATCTGGCTAGCACTGCACTCTACTTCTCTACTGTTGGAAGTATATGAGCCTAATAGTGGCTTTTCGTTTTAAATGTTGTAAGAATATATGTAAGTCTTAAGCCTACAACTGTCCCTCGTTTGCAACAGTTGTATGTGTGTAAGGCTACAACTGTCCCGCGACTTCAACAGTTGTAAGCGTATAAGTTTACAATTGTTCCTCGCCTTCAACAGCTGTAAGTGTGTAGGCCTACAATTGTCCCTCGCCTTCAACAGTTGTAATTGTGCAGACCTACAATTGTTCCTCGCCTTCAACAGCTGTAAGTGTGCAGACCTACAATTGTTCCTTGCCTTCAACAGTTGTAATTGTGCAGACCTACAATTGTTCCTCGCCTTCAACAGCTGTAAGTGTGCAGACCTACAATTGTTCCTTGCCTTCAACAGTTGTAATTGTGCAGACCTACAATTGTTCCTTGCCTTCAACAGTTGTAATTGTGCAGACCTACAATTGTCCCTCGCCTTCAACAGTTGTAATTGTGCAGACCTACAATTGTTCCTTGCCTTCAACAGTTGTAAGTGTGTTAGCCTACAATTGTTCCTCGCCTTCAACAGCTGTAAGTGTGTAGGCCTACAATTGTCCCTTGCCTTCAACAGTTGTAAGCGTATAAGTTTACAATTGTCCCTCGCCTTCAACAGTTGTAAGTGTGTAGGCCTACAATTGTCCCTTGCCTTCAACAGTTGTGTGTTAGCCTACAAATGTCCCTCGTCTACAACAGTTTTACGTTTGTAGGTATATAAGTGTACACCTGTCCCTTGTTTGCAACAATTGATAGTGTTACGTATACAAGTGTCGCTCGTCTTCAGTTGTGATACTTACATTTGTTAGCCGTCAGCTGTCCCTAGCGTTCAAATGTTAAATGTATAAGTATGTAACCCCTCAGCTGTCCCTCGCGTTCAAATGTTACATGTATAAGTATGTAACCCCTCAGCTGTCCCTCGTGTTCAAATGTTACATGCATAAGTATGTAACCCCTCAGCTGTCCCTCGCGTTCAAATGTTACATGTATAAGTATGTAACCCCTCAGCTGTCCCTCGCGTTCAAATGTTACATGTATAAGTATGTAACCCCTCAGCTGTCCCTCGCGTTCAAATGTTACATGTATAAGTATGTAACCCTCAGCTGTCCCTCGTGTTCAAATGTTAAATGTATAAGTATGTAACCCTCAGCTGTCCCTCGTGTTCAAATGTTACATGTATAAGTATGTAACCCTCAGCTGTCCCTCGTGTTCAAATGTTAAATGTATAAGTATGTAACCCCTCAGCTGTCCCTAGCGTTCAAATGCTACATGTATAAGTATGTAACCCCTCAGCTGTCCCTCGTGTTCAAATGTTACATGTATAAGTATGTAACCCCTCAGCTGTCCCTCGCTTTCAAATGTTACATGTATAAGTATGTAACCCTCAGCTGTCCCTAGCGTTCAAATGTTACATGTATAAGTATGTAACCCCTCAGCTGTCCCTCGTGTTCAAATGTTACATGTATAAGTATGTAACCCCTCAGCTGCCCCTCGTGTTCAAATGTTACATGTATAAGTATGTAACCCCTCAGCTGCCCCTCGTGTTCAAATGTTACATGTATAAGTATGTAACCCCTCAGCTGTCCCTCGCGTTCAAATGTTACATGTATAAGTATGTAACCCCTCAGCTGCCCCTCGTGTTCAAATGTTACATGTATAAGTATGTAACCCCTCAGCTGTCCCTCGCGTTCAAATGTTACATGTATAAGTATGTAACCCCTCAGCTGTCCCTCGCGTTCAAATGTTACATGTATAAGTATGTAACCCCTCATCTGTCCCTCGCTTTCAAATGTTACATGTATAAGTATGTAACCCCTCAGCTGTCCCTCGCGTTCAAATGTTACATGTATAAGTATGTAACCCCTCAGCTGTCCCTCGCGTTCAAATGTTACATGTATAAGTATGTAACCCCTCAGCTGCCCCTCGTGTTCAAATGTTACATGTATAAGTATGTAACCCCTCAGCTGTCCCTCGCGTTCAAATGTTACATGTATAAGTATGTAACCCCTCAGCTGTCCCTCGCGTTCAAATGTTACATGTATAAGTATGTAACCCCTCAGCTGCCCCTCGCTTTCAAATGTTACATGTATAAGTATGTAACCCCTCAGCTGTCCCTCGCGTTCGAATGTTACATGTATAAGTATGTAACCCCTCAGCTGTCCCTAGCTTTCAAATGTTACATGTATAAGTATGTAACCCCTCAGCTGTCCCTCGCGTTCAAATGTTACATGTATAAGTATGTAACCCCTCAGCTGTCCCTCGCGTTCAAATGTTACATGTATAAGTATGTAACCCCTCAGCTGTCCCTCGTGTTCAAATGTTACATGTATAAGTATGTAATCTCTCATCTGTCCCTCGCTTTCAAATGTTACATGTATAAGTATGTAACCCCTCAGCTGTCCCTCGTCCCCCATTCCTAAAGTGTCAATGGTACGTGTCTTACGTCAAACCTACAGTGATTACGTGTTGAAGCTGTCAAAGATAATTTGCGGACAACGAGAACACATGAACATGTTCGCGTAAAATGTGTCGAGAACAATGTTTTATGCATTTGAAGTAAAGGGCACCCTTTTCACTTTTACGTTGTGTGATCTAAGTAACAAAAACGCGTAAATTATTGATGTTTCGTTTGTCAAGGCCGACCGCAGTAGAAACGGGCAGAGATACCATTGGCATTTTACGATGATTGCGGATTATAAACTCTGCCATATAACGTTTTATGCATACAACTGAATGTACGAATATATCGTTCCGTAAATAAAACTATTCTTACTGCGCGTCTCATATTAATTCAGTTTCCCACACCTTACGACTATGAACACTAGTGATACAATCAACATCTTCATCGGGATAGTTCGATTTTCACTTAAGGTGCCCAGAACATGAGAATTTAAAACTCAGGAAACACAGGGTGATGATTTATGACCGTTTGGTTTTATTTGTGAGGATATATACTGACCTCCAAAAGAAACGAGAATCTCATAAAACTTCTATTCAAAACACAAATGAGACAACTTTCATTGATCAAAGACATCGCTCAAATGAAAACAATACAAGTTTACATGAGTTTAAATACCCGTACTTTGATCAAGTATTTCCGTTGTTCACTCGCATGTTATAGTCGTCGTAAAAGACGTTTTACTGGTACGATAAGTGTAGCCATTACTTCTGTTTATGAGCTGCTGTCGGTAATGCTTACAACATGAAATCGTGGCAAGTGGTGCTTACATAATATGTAGAAAAGATATTTCGTGTGTTTGATTGTCTTATTGAAGTTGAAACTCAACAGTTTCCAATGGGACTGCACTTTATGTGCAGAGTTGCGTCCCTTATTTTTCCGGATCGCTTGTCTGTCATATTACATATCTGATCCTCGGCCTGTCAGAAGCATACCTGTGGTCGCTTTTATATAATGGATACTGTTATCTAGCCGATAAACCAATCTGATAAACTTGGTATCAAGATCACATGGCAGGAACTACTTTCAGTCTCCATACATCAGTTCAGTGTCTGCTTGCTCAATATATTGTAGACTAAAGCTGTTTAAAATATAAATATGTTTAGATAGGGTTATTCCGAGGTGTGGGTGATTATGTAGACAAACATAGCTGCAAATTTCCTTTAGCGCTATCTGATAAATGGGGCGGTTCATTATTCATTTTTTAAGTTACTTCATTGAGAGAAATAGCTACTCAAACATAAATTATTGTAAGAATGATATGTGATGATGATATTATTACCCTCGTGTGTTTCCGTATCGTAACCAGCAAATATTAGGCTGGCTGGTTTGTTGTTTTACGCCGCACTTTGCAATATTCCAGCAATATGACGGCGGTCTGTATCCAGCGGTCAGACAATCCAGTGATTGATATCATGAGCATCGATCCACGCAATTGGGATCGATGACATGTTTCAAACCAAGTCAGCGAGCCTGACCACCCGATCCCGTTTGTCGCCTCTTACGACAAGCATAGTCGCCTTTTATGACAAGAATGGGTTGCTCAAGGACTACTCTTTCCCGGATCTTCACGGGTCAGCAAATATTAGGAATAAAGCATCGGTATTATGCTCACCAAAGGCTTTCATAAAATTATTTTTCCTAATATATAATAATTACGATTCAAAAACACGCTCAGCTAATGATCTTTATTTATCGCTGTGATTTTAACATTCGTCTAACGTCTGACATGTCGTGATATACATGTAAACTGGTGGTCAAAAGAAAGTCAAAATTAAAATAAATGTTGTTAAATTTGGTTTTGTAGAGTTTACCATCAGTCATTCTTACAACATTTTGTAAAAGGTAATCTGTTACGTTAATGGGTACACTGGGGTAAGAAATAAATTTACAGACACATGATCCCTACCATGTTTGAAATGTAAATTTGTGACGAAAAAACCCGCAAATATATTAGTTTTCAAAAGTCAGATGTATAAGATACTCATAATCAGTTGTGTATTATACGAACATTTAAAAAAATCTAAAAGTATTAATTCAAACTATATTTTATAAATTATAATTATGTAGAGGTATAATTTGAGTGCTAAATAAGCGCTAGCATACTTATTTTTTAATATAATATCGCTAACCTAAGATATTTTTAATTGAAAATCAACCATATGATAAAATCAACAACTGAGAGGTATAGTCTCTTTTGCTCCTCAGTTTTCAACTCCAACTTAAATGAAAGTGAGTTGATGTGTTTAAATCATAACTATATTTATGATTGTTTGGTAATGTGCTGACATTTTGTGGCGTTGAAGTAGCAATAATATTTTGTATTTTCAGTTGCGTATTCTACTGAAGACGTTGTGTATCAGTGGCGTTATGGTAAAGATGGAAAGTCGGTGGAGTTTGGGAAAGATATCTGGTTATCCCAGTTTGATCTTATTGGGAGTCCATTGTCCAACTATACAGGCAATATCAAAGGAGGTAGGTACATGTATACAGAACATCTACATTAAAGAACTGCATCAACAGGCTATCTTGATCATGGCTGATTTGCATAAGCAAAGTCAACTTTGATAAAATGAATACTTATGACCTGAAAGAGGTTAAGAGTAACAACTTTTTTAGTTATTTATTAATAAGGAAAATGTGTTCAGTACAGGCCAAGGTATGGGCCCTTTATGGCCACAGAATGTGCACAATGTTAGAATTGAGCAACACTTTGTTTCAACTTGTTATGAAAGTTATCAGATGTGTTCATGTGAATGAGAACTAGACTGTCTTCATGTCAACAAATGCATGACTTGTACAACACTAAATGCAGAGGTAAGGATGTAATGTGTTTAAAAGAAGGCTGATTCTAGAAGTTTTGAGAAATCATTACATGAGGAAGTCTTTGACCCAATGTGTTTTGCATAGGACAAAAATAGATACACACAGTACAATCATGTGGTAAACATTAATCTTGGGTCTTACTTCTATTTTCATTTGAAGATCAACGAAACCCCTGCTTTCTTAATTGAATTCCACTTTAGTCATGCTTTTGTATTTGGTCATGCAAGAAGTTCAAACACTTGAAAGTGTAAGAGAGGCAAAAAGGCTAGTAGTCAGCTATGTCTGATAATTTTTATACTAATATTTCAAACTTTCCGCAACCTTATTATTTGACTTTTCCAGTGGGTCAAAAGGGGCACTTAGCCTTCCCCATTCTTTGTTCCTGTCTTGCAGTTATGACTGTCGGAGTCTAGTTTCAGCTGTAGTTTCTGTAGATTAAGTATATATATGATACATAAAGAGTTTGGTGCTGTGACTCAAACAAACAAATATCCATAAAAAATATATTTGTCTGCCATGAACCGAATCAATGGTCATTTACAGATGTAATACACTACAGGACGTCACAGTCGTCTATGGATTTTATTCCTTATTCCTACAATGCAACGTTTCGATGCCGGTGTCAGTACACTCATCAAGAAAGACCGGTACTGAAATGTCGCATTGATAGCATAAAACATTAAAATCCATGTCAGTCTGTATTGATGCTGCAGCTTCCAAAGGCCATATGATTAACTACATGTAATGAATACGTACATGTTCTCTTCCAGCTCCCCATACGATTCTAAAGGTAAAGTTCCACCTGTACCGCCACGCTGGATACTTCATCATACAGGTGTACGTGCCATGTGCCTTACTCGTCATCCTGTCCTGGGTGGCTTTCTGGATCAACAGAGAGGCCACGGCCGACAGAATCGCCCTAGGTGAGACAGGATCGACACAGTCTTACTTCTTGGCTTATAAGGCAACTTACCAGCGTTAATTGTACAACTAGATGCACTATCATCTTGTGTGTGCACCTGTCATAGCCAAACTAGGTGTACTGTCATCATGGCAAGGCAGCCTTCCATAGCAATATAAGGTGCACTATCATCATGGCATGCACGCCTTTCATAGCATAACTAGGTGCACTGTTATCATGGGCAAGGCAGCCTTCCATAGCAATATAAGGTGCACTATCATCATGGCATGCACGCCTTTCATAGCTTAACTAAGTGCACTGTTATCATGGGCAAGGCAGCCTTCCATAGCAATATAAGGTGCACTATCATCATGGCATGCACGCCTTTCATAGCTTAACTAAGTGCACTGTTATCATGGGCAAGGCAGCCTTCCATAGCAATATAAGGTGCACTATCATCATGGCATGCACGCCTTTCATAGCTTAACTAAGTGCACTGTTATCATGGGCAAGGCAGCCTTCCATAGCAATATAAGGTGCACTATCATCATGGCATGCACGCCTTTCATAGCTTAACTAAGTGCACTGTTATCATGGGCAAGGCAGCCTTCCATAGCAATATAAGGTGCACTATCATCATGGCATGCACGCCTTTCATAGCATAACTAAGTGCACTGTTATCATGGGCAAGGCAGCCTTCCATAGCAATATAAGGTGCACTATCATCATGGCATGCACGCCTTTCATAGCATAACCAGGTTTATTGTCATCATGGGCAAGGCAGCCTTCCATAGCAATATAAGGTGCACTATCATCATGGCATGCACGCCTTTCATAGCATAACTAGGTGTATTGTCATCATGGGCAAGGCAGCCTTCCATAGCAATATAAGGTGCACTTTCATCATGGCATGCACGCCTTTCATAGCATAACTAGGTGTATTGTCATCATGGGCAAGACAACATTCCATAGTAATACATGGTGCACTTTCATCATGGCATGCACGCCTTTCATAGCAGAACTAGGTGCACTGTTATCACGGGCAAGACAGCATTCTATAGTAATATATGGTGCACTTTCATCATGGCATGCACGCCTTTCATAGCAGAACTAGGTGCACTGTTATCATGGGCAAGACAGCATTCCATAGTAATACATGGTGCACTTTAATCATGGCATGCACGCCTTTCATAGCAGAACTAGGTGCACTGTTATCATAGGCTTTACAGCATTCCATAGTAATACATGGTGCACTATCATCATGGCATGCATGCCTTTCATAGCAGAACTAGGTGCACTGTTATCATGGGCAAGACAGCATTCCAAAGTAATGCATGGTGCACTTTCATAATGGCATGCACGCCTTTCATAGCAGAACTAGGTGCACTGTTATCATGGGCAAGACAGCATTCCATAGTAATACATGGTGCACTTTCATCATAGGTTTCACAACCTTTTTAGCAATATAAGGTGCATTGTCATCATGATGTACACAGCCTTCCATTGCAAAATTAGGTGCACTGTCATGATTAGCAACACAGTCTTTCATAGCAATACAAGGTACACTGACATATTGATTTGTACAGTGTTCCACATCAGAGCTTCGTGTACCGCCTTCATGGGCTCCATAGCTAAACTAGGTCATCATTGGCAGCACAGCGTTACATTGCAAGGTGCACTGACATCCTGTCTTGAACAGCCTCCGACTGCAATACTAGGCGCACTTCCATCATGGCTTAGACAGTCTTCCAAAGTAACAATAAATGCACTGTTACCTTGGCTTAGACAGCCTTTCATAATAATAATAAATGGAAAAAAAGTAATCTTATAGACATGTTGAGGACATTCCCAAATTTGACGCATCAGTGACAAAAATGATATCAGATGCAATCTCCTGTTTGGACAGATGCCGTATGTTCCCGTGTTGTTTCAGGTTAACACTTGACTTGACTTTGCATGTGTTTGTAACGGGTGCCATCGGTGGGGCAGGATATGCCCACTTTTTCACGAACACCTGGTATCACTATTTGATAGTGATTCATAAACACATGTGCATGATATGGTCGGAATCATACAATCAATTTTGGCAGATATTTTTTTTATGGCTATGGGAAGGGTTTTGTCGCTTTTATTTGCATAGCCTTAAATACCAAAGTGCATGGTTATCGTGATATACACAGCCTTCCGTTGCAGAACTAGGTGCACCTTCACCATAGCTTGCACAGCCTTCCATTGGAAAAATAGGTGCACTGTTATCGTGGCTTGCACAGCCTTCCATTGGAAAAATAGATGCACTGTTATCGTGGCTTGCACAGCCTTCCATTGGAAAAATAGATGCACTTTTATAGTGGCTTGCACAGCCTTCCATAGCACAACTAGGTGCACTGTCATCACGGCTTACACAGCCTTCCATAGAAGAGCTAGATGCATTATCATTCACGGTTAGTAAATCCTTCATACCAGAGTTTAATGCAATTATCGATTGAAAACTTTAACGTCCGTCTCGGGATAAGAAGCATCAATTCACTTATCAAGTATTGCTTCAGCAAGAAAAGCGAAGCTAGATGCATTGTGAATAAAGGTCACAACAAACTACCAAGGGTGTTATTAATTAAACCCTACAGTTTCACATATCGATATCAATAAACATGTACAATACCAATAAAGAGATCAAATTGTTACTACAGAACTACATAAGTTTGCAAAGTATTCTCTACGCAATCATATTAAACAGTCCAGATTTCCAGAACGATATATAACTTAACACTATAGAAAAGAGAAGTAGTTCAGACGCTATAATTCTAAAATATAATACGTTGTCCAAACAGAGTCATATTAAGACGCTCTGTGACAGCATTCTTATTGAACAAACACGTGGGACATCATCGCTCTGTTAATTATAACAAGTACGTAAATTTAAGTGGCTGCAGTTGGCACTACATGATACATCGGGCTGATTACTCAAACAGTGTATTCATACGCGGATTCTAAACCTTTTTTCATTGAGTGAAACTACATCTGTAACATTAATGGTTGTAAGAATGACACTCAATGATCAAGATATTATTACGCGTGTGTGTTTCCGTATAGTAAATAGGGGCCACGGGTGGCCCAGTCGTCTAAGGCGCCGCGATTTGCTGTGCAGAGTTGCGTCCCTTAGGCACGCCGGAACCCTATGATTGTGGGTTCGAATCCCGGTTCGCCCCGATTATGTTTGTAGGTTTGTCAGCACCATTCCCGTGCTCGTGGGTTTCACCGAAGGGGTAAACGTCTGCATCACTTCGGGCTTTCCTCCCACATTAAGCTGACACGCCGTGATATGACTGGAATACAGTTAAAAGCGGCGTTAAACCCAACTCACTCACTCACGTATAGTAAATATCATATATTGGGAACAAAAAAGTCAAGTACGAATTTTACGATATGGAGACACACGAGGGAAGTAAATTCAATAGGTAAGCTACCCTGTTCGAGTTGTGGGTAAAAGCGGCTGTGAACGTGTGACATGTTGTGACAAGTGTTTCAATAGCTTCTGCAGTTTCACCCCTTCTTGGTGTAAAAGCATAAAGACCCGATAACTGTCCATGCAGATGTAGCCATTGCGCACGGCGGTCGTTTTCGGCTTAACATAATTAGTAATTAGTAAATTATGTAAATTATGATAATATTTATGATAATAGTTATGTAAATTATCTTGCAAAGCCTTCCATTGGAATAGATTAAATCGTTTTCGTTGTACATGAATTCGACTTTTTTTTACTCGTCAAAAACAGGTTTATCTCATCGAGATGAAACGAGACGAGACGACACGACACGACACGATACAACACATGACATGACACGACCTGAGAGGACATGACATGACATAGACATGTCATTCGTTTATCGTCACTTTGCAGAGATAACCTGAAAGCATATTTCACTGATACAATGTACTTATAAAGATTTATTTTTAAGTGACGACATAAATGGTCAGTTTCTTTGGCATATATACCGTTTAGATACATTGAGGGGATAGTTACTCAGATAATAGATTAGCCGTTTCTCGGTGTGTATGTGTGTGTGTGTATGTATGTATGTATGTATATGTGTGTGTGTGTGTGTGTTTGTGTGTTTGTGTGTGTTTGTTTGTGTTTGTGTTTGTGTGTGTGTGTGTGTGTGTGTGTGTGTGTGTGTGTGTGTGTGTGTGTGTGTGTGTGTGTGTGTGTGTGTGTGTGTGTGTGTGTGTGTGAAGAATAGAGCAACGTTTTATGCTCCTACTACTCTTACATGTTTTATGTACAAGTAAATGAAATATCACGGCAAGTTACTTTCACCTTATAGACGTCTTGTTCATTTGTTATTTGACGCCGCACTCAGCAATATTACAGCAATATGACAGCGGTCTGCAAATAATATCCGACTAGACTAGACAGTCTAGTGATTGATATTGTGAGCAACGATCCACGGCTTACGATGACATGCATCAACCAAGCCAGCGAGCCTGACTTCCCGATCCATTTAGTCGCCTCTTACGACAAGCATAGATTGCCGGGGATCAATTCTAACCCGGAATCCCAACGGAGCGTCGTTTCAATAGGCAATTAGGATAGGCATATGTGATAGAGACGCTGCTGAAGAAAGTTACGAGGATAGTTACATTAGTCCAGTGTCCCGTTAGAAGTTTATTATTACGAAGGAAGTTATTAAACTGATGATAGATAATGCTTTTGGCATAATATTATGTTTGATACAGCTCAAGTAGGTTAAAACGCAGTAATACAGATAGAGTGACTGGAGGTTATTAGGATTGTTATGGTGGTAGAGTGTCCGCTTTGGAACTTTATGAATACATATACATATTCAGTTATATTGGTAGACCCATTGTCATAAGGTGTGTCCACTTGAGTAGGTACATTTGTTATCTCATTGCGACAGAGAGGTTTAGTAAGCCCCCAAATATATCTTTATTAAATAATATTTGTTTCCATTTGAAGTCGTCACAGATCGCTTTCATACTGACGTTAAGATGTCTTTTAAACG